GCGTACAATGCCTCATTGGGTAATTAATAAAACATGTCCGCGCCTTTTTTACAGTCGCAAAAATATTCGTATACAATTTCGATACGAGAATGGGGGAAGGGAGAAACTTTCGAAATTCATACACGGTGCGGACTTTCATCCCGGCCAACGAGAACGCGATTTATAAACGCGAATGACGACGAGATCGTCGAGCGGGGGCCGTATATAAGCGCAATGAGAGCCGATAATAAAACGCCGATTATTTACGACGATATATTCGACACGCGGAGCTTCGCTTTCTATATACGAAATACAAATTTTCTTATCGGTGAAAAGTGAATCTCGTACTCTCACGTTTTTGTTGGTTCTTCCTCGTGTTTTAGAAAGTAGCCGTGCGCACTTACATCTCGCCGATTGATCAAGAACTTTGCAAGTGCCTACGATTACGCAAATACGCGCAACTTGTACCGACAAAATTCCATCTTTGGATTAGCGCAATTAATACCAGAAATGTTATTTCATTATCAACTAAGTGAATATCTAAATTGTAATAAAAATTGCAGATTATGTTTCTATCAAGGATCGAATAAATGATTCATAAATGAGGATTTATGTAGGACGTTAAAGTTGGCATAATTATATAGATCCGACCTCTCTTAAGAAGTTATATAAACAATGTTTATAAAAAGAAATTATTGCGCATACAAATCCGATTGCCTTCTCTTTCATTATAAAAAATATTTTTTTTTAAACACAGACATATGATTGTAAAAAAATACTCGTGTTATGTAAATTCATTCTTACATTAGAGCATTATATCTCTATGATTAATATATCCGATAATCTAGATGAAAAGGCGGATGTATCGCATAGTAGCGATAGTGCAAGCAAACAATATTCCTTGCGTAATTTTATTTATATTTCGCGAGATTGATCCTATGTAAAAATGATGTAGACAAGATTGTAATGTAACATGGAGAGGGAGTTCGGAACTCTCATCACCGGTAGTCACGAGAGAGAGCGAAAGTGCATAACTCGTGTGACGTTTATGAACGACATGCCTCCGTAGTTTTTTAACGATAGTATCGCGTGTTCTTGTTGCAGATAATAAAATTTAAAATCAAGCTTATAAACAAAACTTATAAATTAAATTATAATAAATTATCATTATAATAGTTTATCACTATAAATTATTCCAATAAAATTTATACATCAAATTTTTCATTTATAAATATATGTACGTTTGGATTTAAAAATATATCCATAATTTATAACATTATTATTATTTTCAATAATCTAACATGAAAAATCTTTTTAATATACTCAAAACATTTGAATAAAAAATAGAAAATGATCATGTTTCATAATCATCTTCACGATGCTTTCTCATTCCATTTTCACACAAAAAGTATATTCATATATGACTTATTGCTCTCTTGGTATACATAATAGTAATTTTGCTACCAGAAGGACTATTAACGTACTCGTTAACACGTAAGTTTGCATGTCTAACATTCTTTTTCTAAATTTTACGTTAGTCCGCAAAGTATGATTTATACTAGCAATACAGTAAAAGAGAGTCTTCCCTCCCTCTATCTTGACCACAAGGAATGGAACTTTGTGGTAAATAGTATACTTAATGCTATTTATGCAATGAAGTGTCATTACTAGTCACCACGCGAGATTCCGCACTGGTAATAACAGTTATGTTTATAGCTGCGGCCACAATAAGAATAACGATAATTATGATCTCGAGTGCGAGATTGTAACTTTCTATTTATAATAATATAGACAATTTTTTACAAGAAACTATATCGCGCTTTTAAAGATAACAAGCTATGTAAAATCTTGAAATTATCTTTTTTGGAAAAAATCATTTTATCACCTTTCATCGTTCTACTATATAAAATATTTGTTATTATATTATTTAATCGGTTACATTTTTATACGTATAAATTATTTCAAAAGAGAAAAAATTATATATGTACTTACATTTTTTATATAAAACATCATATATAAAATATAATATTGTATATAAAATTATAACATATATTATATAAAATATTCTAAATAACATTATATTTTAAAAGCAAGAATGTATAATGAACCGCTCTAGTGTTCTGAAATGTCTCGTGAAATATCCGGGCTTTTTTAATGATATTACAAAAAAAAAACGTACGAATATTTTTTTATATTCATACCTCTGCATGTAATAAAGAGAATATCTCGATTTGCGATATTTAAACACATATTTATTAACAATGCATAAAAGCATCGATTTTGTGATTACATGGTTGAAAGATTTACCGTCAGGCTATAACTTATCCTGTTTAATTATGCTCGACTATACGGTTCGCCAAGTACGATACTACAATATTATAAAAAAATGTTAATCATAATAAATTGATTATAACAGACTATACACTTTAATTAATAATTTTCCTCTTTAGAATAAATAAAATATAATTTTCCACATCTCGTATATCTTAACTTTGTGTCTTAAAACGTAAACACTCATTCCAGCAAATAATTTCTAGTTTCTATATTTATATAAAATGTTTAATATTTAATTTCCTCGACGTTTAATGATTAAAAAAAGTTCCTTTTCTCGATGCAAAATTTCGTTTGTTAAGCCTATTTTTTACTTGATATCATTTTGTGCCTAAATATCGTATAGAAATACATTTTTAATCTATTAAAGCTGCATTCTCCGAAATTTATTGCCAGTACTGAAAATTTGTAATTATAATAAATGTATCCGGTTCACAAATGATTACACAAATTAACTATTGTTATTAGTTTAATGTTAATAAACCAGCTTACCTTGTGACTAACTCATTGTAAATTTTTACTTTAAGCGCACAGTTTTTAAAATTTACATATTTAATATAAAAAATAATATTAAGAAGTTAATCCAATTTAAGAAAGAGAAAAAATCCTGTATTTTAATTTTCATTAAATGCAGGTGGCATTTAATTCTGATATTCGAGAATTTAAAAAATTTACAATATTTATATCTAAAAATGTTTCAAATGATAATTTTAGGTCCTTGAACTCTAAATTCTGAGATCTCTGGTTTCTGAGAATGTCAAACTATTATTTCTCTAGAACACGAGGACAATTAATTATGTCAATTTCAAAATCTTCACTTAATTAAACATTTTAATCTCCGGGTATTAGTGGTTTTGTCTACTTTTTAAATTCTCATAAATTTTGGATCCTTGAAATCCTTCAGATGCTAAAGATCGTGCACAGCCATAGCACGTTTTACTCAGACTGGTCGAACGCAAGGTAATATTTTACGATACAAGACGAGCGCGTCTGATTAATTGGTGACTCGCACTACTTGTAGCTTCTCGATATACGCTCGAATTAAGCTTGAACCTTAACTGAGCCGTTTTTTATACCTTGCCATAATTATAAATATAACACATTGTGATATTCTTAACCTTTTGCGCATACATCCAACACAAAAATTAATAATCAAAAAATAATAAATTAATAAACGAAACATACTAACTGTATATTAATATTTATATTAATTTTATTTATATATTAATTATAAGTATAGTTTCTTTCCCTTCTCCTCGCCCTCTTCCCCGGAATGATAAGGTGTAATATATCAGTAATTTTCCTCGAATTATAATAATGATAAATATTCAACGATTCTTATCAATAAAAAAGATTGCATTACAATTCATTGTTTATCATAGATTAATAAACGAATGATTGTGGCATATAATCGTACGTTGAATATAAATGTTTAACCAGAAAATTAGTAATCGAGGAAAACTTGTCGGATAAAAAAGAGATTTTCTAATCGTTATCTATAATAAATGAAAGATTAAACGCGAAGCGTCAATAAATATTCAATAGAAATTATGAAACAAAGTTACATATATCATTTTGTCATTTAAACGATTGAAACATCATATGCGGGTGTTATATTCTGTTTGTTTGTCTTATATTGATTTTTTTTTGAGCGCAACAAAGAAAAAAAAGAATTTATTTAAATTTATTTCCCCTATAACATGTTGCTTAACTCTTTTTTCTTTTTTTAAAGTTTATTACCAGTGTTGTGCTTGGATGATTTTAAAATTAGCTAGATAAAGATGAGACAAAAATATGTAAATTCATCTTATTGTTAGATAAGATAAAGATGATTTTGTTTTAAATATATCTAGATAAAAGATAAAATTATATGGCGACTCATCCAAATAATTTTCTAGATACTATTTTTTAAGACTGCTTATATAAATACAGTTATAAAAAAAATGTAAAAATATATGTATTCATATTTTTATTTATAAATTTTTATCGCTTACTGCTTAAGTTGTACTATTTAAGTATTTTTATTTGCTATGATTCTAAACCAAAATTATCTGAAAATTATTCTAGATAATTTATAAAGATAATATTTTGTTCATCTAAGATATGCAGATATAGATAATACATATTTTTATTATCTATATAAAGATAAGACGACGCCAAAGTTTCATCTGGATGATTATCTATATAATTTTATTTAGATAACAGCAAACATTGTTTATTACAAATATCGGAGCAATGTGAATTAATTGATTAAGAAATATACTTATTGGACTTTAACAAGCTCTCTAATTTATCTAACAAGTGGATGACACGAGAGAAAGAGAGAAAGAGACAGAAAAGGAGAAGTACCGTTTAACTATTAGAGAAAGTTACTTTTACGTGTTACTCCGGAACGTCCTGACAAGCGTTAACTAATACTAATCATCTCCTATGTAACGTGAACCCTCGACTCCACTCTAATCTCTAATGTTGGTCCGCGTTCTTCCGGTGAAAGAACATTCTTTCATTTAAACAGAATAACATTGTAATTATCCACATGTGCAACTATAATCATTTTTATTAAACACATTTTTCTCACAAAATGCTGAAAAATTGGCGCAAAAATCGATGGAAATAAAAAAAAATTGTACTCCAAAGAGGAATACTTTGATTTTGCAAAACAATTTCACAACTTAATAACTTAATCTTACCTGAGCCAATTAGCTGTCACCATTTCTGTCAACTTTCCAACTTGTTTTTCTGCGCGTCTCTGCTTTTAAAAATCGCGTGCCTTTTTCCCGCGCACGCTGCGGTGTCTCTCTCTCTCTCTCTCTCTCTCTCTCTCTCTTTTTCTCGCTATTTGCGCTCCGTTTCGGCACGAAGATATAATTCGGCGGAAAATGTTCCGTTCGCGGCTCACTCTTAAGCTCTGTCAGATGTTACACCAGTATCGCGATGTCGCGTAAATATATATATATATATATATAAGACGAGGAGGCAACACGTAACTCCGACAACTCTCCGGCGGATACTGAGGCCCGTCGCGGACAGCGTCGTGATAGCCTCCTCTTCGCATAACCACGCGGCGAGTGAAAGCGAGAGGTGCCGCGTCGCGTCGAGCTGCCGCGATGAGCGAGAGCGGGTATATGAGAGCGAGCGCGGCCGATTGTGTGTGTGTGTGTGTGTGTGTGTGTGTGTGTGTGTGTGTGTGTGTGTGCATGCGAGAGAGACAGAGAGCCGCGCGGCTTAAAATCGCGCCAAACGCGAGCAAAGATATGCAAACGAGACCGAGTAACAGAGACAAAATGAGCCAGCGATATACCCAGGCCGTCAAAGTCGCCGCAACGAGAAAGGGCAAGCGTCGATGCACTATACGCGCTCGGCAAGAAAGGCGCTGAAGCGAGAAGGAAATTTCGACGCGTGGGAGGGTAGGATTAGCTACTTATGCAAAAAGCACTTTCGTACAACAGTCGTGCATAAGATAATAGGCGTCTATGATACTCATCCTTACATTTGGTTTATGCTCCTAATCAACATGATAACGCGAACGTATAGTTTCTTACATCGCTTATTTTGCTTTATAATCAACCCTTAAGTACTGCGGTTGAATTTCTTGAGAGAAAGAGAGAGAAAATACGGCTAATTTTTATCATTAAAAACGTCATAGTTGTAAGTTAAACAAATCATTTATTTGAAACTAACAAAAATATTTATTTGATACAAGAAAATCCTTTTTAAAACAGATAAATATTCATTTGTTTCAAATAAATGATTTATTAGACCTAAGCAGTATTAAAATAAATATTTATTAATTTATAATAATATTTTATTTTATTTCATGAAATATTTATGCAAATTCAGGCTCCAATTGTGCATGACGTTTTGCAAAGCACTTTTTCAAGATCACCAATATAGTTAATTTGCCCTATTTGTGCACAACCGATAAGAACAGCGTGCTAACGCATATCTCACGAAAAGATGTTATGTTATATCGCTTTTAGTTTTCAAGTCTATAATTGTTATGGTTTAGAAGATACACACACAAATCTTTTTATTTGCGCGAAAAGCCGCGTTTGTCGCAAATCTGCAGCTATCAGCTATTGCGTTCTCTTTGCAGTCGGAAAAAAATCTAACAGGACGATGCGACGTGACGCCAAGCGCCACGATATGCTACACAATTCGTGGAAGGATGAGGGACAGACTGCAATTGAGGATCATAAAAATTCTCGGAAATGACGGCGAGCGAAGGATAATGGACATGGGAAAGGCAGCATGGCAGCGTCAAGTAAATGCCATCCAAGGATGCAATATCGGGAACATCTAGTGAATAATATTTTTCGTCCGATTGCCGACAATTGTCGCGGAACTAGGAATCTTCACACCTCATCTTATCATCACAAATTAATATGTGATTAATATGTGATATATAATATAAATGATTGCTATATAATCTTCTCGTGCGCACGATATATGACTGTTTCACAAATTACATGTACATATACATATATGTATAATTTGTGAAAATATCAATATATCATATATAATGAAGTATAAATTGAAAATTTTTATGTACTAATTGGAGGGTATTAATAAAAATTAATGAGTACTTTAATATATTGTATTAATTTTCCTATTGTAACTACTTAATTAATGTAACTATTGCAATATATTAATTACTATATTTATATAATAACCGCCAATAAATATATGCTGTATTTTATATATGTAATAGTTTACCTGTTAAATTGTTCAAATATCGCGCTTAAAAAGCTTCAAAAATAATATTAATACACTGAAAAAATGATTATAAATTAATAAATATTTTTATTTCAATACTACCAAATGAATCACTTATTGAAATAAATAGATATTTATTTGTTTTGAAAAGGATTTTCTTATATATCAAATAAATATTTTTCATATCAAATCAATATTATTAGTTTCAAATAAATGATTCATTTGGCAGTATTGAAATAAATATACTTATTCAAATTCAATACATTTTTTTTCAGTGTAAGAATAAGAACAAATGTCCTATAATTATTTAAAATTTATTAATAATTTATAATTTCCATATTGTGTAATATAAATGTAACTTATTCTTTTTTATTTAATTTCTATTGTTTATTAATTCGATAAATCTCTTTCTCTCTCTGCTCAATTAAATCTTCTCAGCTGAATAACTATTTGATTAAAAATAAGCAAACTACTCTCGAACGGGGACACGTAGACAGTAACTGGAATGTGTGAACGTGCCATCATCCAAGTATGCTGTTACAGTGAAGGCGCGATGTCACGTCGTGACCTTGACCTTTGAGAAAAGGAAGAAGTCAGTCAAAAAATTCTTATGGCTATAATTTGGAGTTCCAAAAGGAGGTCTCTCTCCCTCTCTCTATAGAAATCAAGTAGTTGATTATAGTTAAGAGTTAGAAATTTAGACTAAACGACGATGAAAAGTTTGCAGTTTATATATTACAACATTTTTGATACTAGATTTTAAAATTAAAAAGTTGCAAATTAAAAATATTCAAAATTAACAATTGATAAAATGGACACACACAGTTGAATATTATAATTCCATTAAAATGAATTTCATATTTTGTTGCACCAATAAAAATGTAAATTCTGCACAAAGAATGAGAAAATATATGTTTAAATAGATGTAAAATAGAATTAGAATAACTTTATCATAAAGCATTCGAACTTAATTTACTTTTTATTTATATTTATTTTAATATTTAATTTATTAACTCTAAATCTTAATTTTGACTTTAATATTCATTTATACTTTTATATTGCTCCACATTTATCTATAATATAAAAACAAGCAGTTGCAATAATTTTTAATTTTTTCTCATTCCCTTTTCAGCGCTCAGAATGTATATACATACAGCTTTGAAAACTATAATTCACATTGTAACACCAAAATTAGGATTAATATCGTTCCTTTCTCGAAAAGTGTCAAAATGGCTAATATTGTATATAAATCGAAAACTAATTGTTGGAAATAAATAGAGATCATAAAGTGGACTGCAAGACAATTGCGGGACTTGCAGTGAAAGTATTGTAATGAGGAAGAGAGAAGTCACCCATGCTTCTTCTTTTTACTTCCAATGCGAGACTTTCATTGAGAGAGAGAGAGAGAAGATTCGATGAAATAAAATAATGATTTCAATATTTTAATACCATATAAATATTATCAATATATTTCATTGCATTATAAAAATAAAAGATTACATATATAAGAAAAAATATGACAATATCTCAATAAAATATAAAAATATTCACACAAATAAATAAACTATATACACATAAACATAATTTATACAAGAAAAAATCGAAATATATCTTTAAAATTTAAATATCTCTCTTATACTTTTTAATCTGTTGTATATATATTTTCATAGTAAATAAAATAATATTCAAAATTGTAAAAAAATGTTTATTAAATTTTAAGTGTTATATTATTTTTGCTGCACTTTAGTAGAATGTTTTTACATTCACATACATAAGATAAATTGAGTTGTATAACTTTATATAGAATTATACAATTCAATCTATATATTGTTGTCTGTTATTCTGCAACATATAATTTTCTTTGCATCGCATGTGTAAAAAAAGAAAACAGTCGTCGATATATCAATGAGATAGTTACCGTCACTTCTTGCTCAATTTCATACGCTGAGCAAATGATTTAATTTATAAATACAAGTGACAGTATGTTTTTATTTCAGCCTTTCTTCCTCTCTCTCTCTCTCTCTTTCAGATGACACCGGGTGGCAAAAAAGGAGGGACATTTCGTTGATGTCCCAGTGAAATTCGAAAGGTCGTCTTTTTGAGGTCGTTCTTTTTACCTGCATCGGAGCGTGTTCCATCGCGACTTTATGTAAAATGTTCCGCGAGCTATGTATGTCATGCTGAATAGTTTGTATGCTTGTCCTATATCATGATAGAGAGATATATTTAATTAAATTAACTTTTATTCATAATTGCTATATAATCTTTTAAAATTCAAAGAAAATATAAGACTTTAAGAAAAAGCTTTTCTCCGCCAGAAGTTCAACTAAAATTGTGTATATATATATATATATATCTACATCCAAGGAGACGTATGCGTATATAATAATTAAAGTATTTATATTTAATAAAAATTGATTTTAGAGAAATAAATTAATTACAAAATTCATGTCATCTATCGTAGAGTTTAAACTCAAATGAATATAGGATTTTGTCATTTTCGTTAACTGTGCGAGAAAGTGAGAGAGACCCGAGCATGATGATCATTTACTTGAGATTGACAGGGATTGGCAGGAAAAAATAGCATTTGCGAAATTTCATACTTCTCCTTGGAATTAGAAGAGTTGCGTTCTTTCGCGCGCGGTTGCGCCTGAGCTTCAATATTCTTTCTGCCTACGGTGATGGTCGTGCATGTCTACCGTATCTTGACTTATGTGTCAGTATGTCATCAGGCCCGCATCAGGTACTCTACGACAACAGCGAGAGTGACTACGAAAGTGGTTGTTACTCAATGGCTAGCGATCTATATGTGACAAGCATGTAATCGAGCGATATCCCCGCATCGTCACGAGCTGCATTTTTTGTCCTCTTCGTGGATTTGAAAAACTACCATCAAATCATTATTCGGCTCAAAATCAAACGAAAGTCTCGAATTAAATTAATCGAGTAATATATCGAACATATTTATAAAGGAATTTATGTCTGCAAATCTGTTTGTTCTTGGGAGACTAATATTATACATGTATAATTCAAATAATATCTTTTTGTTATAACAAGAACTAATAAATTTGGTGTGTGTAGATTGTTTGTATAAAATGACAAAGAGACAGAATTTGCATTTTTAGATCTAATAAATGACGAAATATATATTATACAAAATGACTCGTGACACACATAAACACTCGTAAGACCAAGACCTTCGCAAGAATTTCTCCTGCCATTATCTACAATGTCATGTGAATCAATATCGAATACAATAATGCTATATGTATACAAGCCGATCATTTCAAGACTCTGAGTGGCTCCTTGTCACATATATAAAAATACATTTGCCAATTTTAAATCTTACATT